GGTATTTGCAGCAGAATAAAAAATGAACCGTGTCATAACAAAAAAAAAAAAAGTTTACGCTTAATTGGTATAAAATTAAACAAAAAAAAAAAGAAAAAAATCAAAAAAAATTTCTTTTTTTCAAATTTTGTGATGATAAACAAATGTTTTTAACCTATTTGCAATTTTATAATTTCTCACCTCTATCCTCTCTTCAATTCTAAATTTTTCTTCTTCATCTCACTCTGCTTTTTCTACTCAGTTTTTATGCTTTTCTAAATCAGGAAGTTGCAATTTTGTTTTCCTGGTTATAAACATTAACGAGAACACAGCAAAAAAATTGCTCAATTAAAGCTGATAAATGTTTGTTGAATAAAACGTTTAAAAAAGCAGTTAAGTACAAATAAATTTATTGCTTTTTGCTTTTTGAACTATGCTTAGAATCTGGTCATCATAGTGGCCACAACAGATATAGTAATATTAATATTAATATTAATATTAATAGTGATAGTAATAGTAATAGTAACAGTAATAGTAATAGTAATAGTAACAGTAATCGTAATAGTATCGGTAATAGTAATGGTGGTAGAAATAGTAATAGTAATAGTAAAAGTAATAGTAACAATAATAATGATAACAATAATACTAATACTAATAACAATAATAATAATAAGAATAGTAATAGTGATAGTAATAGTGATAGTAGTGGTATTAGTACTAGTAATAGCAACAGCTGTATTAGTAGTAGTAGTGTAAGTGAATAATAATAATAATAATAATAATAATAATAACAATAATATAAATAATAAATAATAATAATAATAATAATAATAATAATAATAGCAATAGCTATAACAAAAGTGATAACATTAATAGTATTAGTGATAATAATAACAACAGCAATAGTGTTAATGATAAAAATAAAATAATAACAGTAGTAGTAAATATTGGAATGACGAATAGAGTACATCAGTAGACAAGTAATAATTATACCAATAACGACAGCGGTATAAAAAAAACAGTAAATAAAATATTAAATACTAATTTGGCATAATTTCTGGAGAAGAAAGGTGTATTTAAAGACTGTTGACAGTATGCACTTTAAGAAATTTTTATTTCTGTACTGTGCCGAAGAAATTACCAAATACAAATTTTTTTTAAATAATAATTTTAAGAAAATTAAGAATAATTTTAAATTAAAAATAATATAAAAAATAACAGCAGTATCACAGTTAGAACAAAAGACAAATGTTTTTGTGAGAAATTGAAAAGACAAACAATTGCAATTAGTCTGTAGATTAGACTAAAGTTATTTGCCAAATCGACTTAACTTTTATCATCGTCACCAAATTTTATCCATTTTTTAACGTTTTAAATCTGGCTAATAACGACCGATATCTAAGCATAGACAACAAAGAATGCTTAGGTTAAACTAGTTTAAACTTTATAAAGTATTGGTATTTGAGTACATAATCAGTAAACGTTTTAATGTCTTCACAAGAGAAAAAGTTGTACGACAGCAAAAATTTGACATTTAGTTGCCGGTCTTTCGTCGGATTCTTCGTATAAGCTTTGCCAGTCGTGCCCTATCAGCTGGATCGGCAATTAGTACTTCTAAATCGGCTTCTGTCAACAACAACAACGTGTCTTTGTCAATCTCGTTCTGCTTGAAAAGTTCAATATAGCGGCCCAAACCCGCTTG